ACTCCAGCCTGGGTAGCAAGAGTGAAACTCCGTCTCAAAAAAAAAAAAAAACTAAAAATCTGGTTTGGCAGTCCTTCAAAAGCTTAAATGGTGCACAAACACAACTTTTGAACACAACTTACAATGAACCAAAGAAGATGGTTGACCACTAGCATCCAAAAAGCAAATATAAACATCAGGGTTATAATGGAGAAGGGGTTCTGTTTGTCAGTTTCTCTGTTTTCATGAAATTTAAAATCCAGCCAATGAGCTCCTGAAGAGCAGAAGTCAGATCACACTCAATCTCACATCCCCAGCAGCTGTCATCAGGGCTAGTACATATTAAGTGCTAAATTAATCATTGTGAAGGCAAATAAGTCAATTCAAGGGTAGAATAAGGAATAAAATTAATAATTTGACAGGCATGGTGGTGGTACACCTGTAGTCCCAGCTACTTGGGAGGCTGAGGCAAGAAGATTGGTTGAGCCCAGAAATTCGAGGCTACAGTGAGCTTTGATCACACCCGTGAATAGCCACTGCACTCCAGCCCGAGGCAACAGCGAGATCTTATCTCTAAAAAATAAATAACCAGTAACTTTATCAGCTCTACTGTTAACAAAATGGATCTTCTACATCGTATGATATCTGCTAACACAATGATGACAATAATAATAGCTAATTTACATTTATTGAGCCAGACATTGCAAAGTGCTCCATATGATTGCATTTAATCCCTGAACAATCCTGTTATCTTATTATTACAATATTATATTATTACCACATTATTACAAATGAGGACGTTGAAATTGTGAGAATTTTCTAAAAGTCATACAGACATCTTAATACTAGCTAATAATTTTTAAGCACTTACTAGATCTGTGACACCATTCTAAGCAATAAGTGTAGAGACTTATTTAATCCTCAAAACAATGAGTTAAACAGGCACAGAGAAGTTAGTAAACTGGCCCAATGTCACTCCTGCTACCACCACCCTCCTCCTGCCCCCTGTAAGTGACCTTGCTAGGCTACAAACCCAGACAGTTTGCCTTCAGACTCTTAATTACTGAGGTATACACGGTTCAGGTATATACCTGCAGAAATACGAACCGAGGCAGACTGACTCCAAGAACCAAACTTCGTTATTCTGCTCTTTCGTGGAGCAATTAAGCCAACTGACATTTAGAGGAGGATGATATGGATTAACATTCTCATTCTGCACATGGAGAGGAAGGGAACAAGTGGCAAGTTCAAATATTACCTTTTTTTTTTTTTTTTAATTCAGACAGGGTCTGGCTCCATCGCTCAGGCCGGAGGGCTGGTGCGATCATGGCTCTCTGCAGACTCAACCGTCCGAACTCAAAAGATCCTCCCGCCTCAGCTTCTCAAGAAGCTGGGACTACTGGTGCATACCACCATGCCTAGCTAATTTTTGTAGTTTTTGTAGAGACTGGGTTTTACCATGTTGCCCAGGCTGTCTCAAACTCCTGGGCTCAAGCAATCCTCCCACCAAAGCATCCAAAAATGCTGAGATTACAGTCATGAGCCACCTTGCCCAGCCACTAGTTTCTTTGTTTAAACAGCTGATACTAATCATTTATCACCTCTACCATCTGACTTCGTTAACCCAGTGTCTCTTTACTTCCAAAGCACTTCGGAAATACTTTTCAAATAGCATGCACTAGAGTGTGGTTTGTTGTGTGTGGAGAGTATTGTGAGCAAGCTCCCCCAGGGCAGAGACTGTGCCCATCCCAGGCCCCGGCACAGAGGAGGCCCTCACACTGGCTTTATCAGCAGCTGATCAGTCTCCACCAGCAGCTCACTGCACGTCCACCCAGGAGTATGAATGATTATCTGTTTAATGCCAATCTTGCTCACTGACTTGTGACAACAAAGACAGAAGCCATCTATGTTATTCCTTGCTGTGACCCCACCTCCTGGCCCAGTGTCCGGCACTCAGGAGGGCATGTGTAAGTATTTGTCAAATGAATGAAGATCAGATGCTCAAAGACCCAGCAGGATATAATTTTATAAAGAAAGTTATATGCTTGCCTCAATAACGCATATTTGAGGCTCCTTATTACCATCCACTGGCACCTTGGCTTGATTCATAACCCACTCCTGGACAGCATCAGTAATGTGAGGGACAACTGTAGAAAGAAGAAATAACATGCTCATGAGAAAGTAATGTGCTTTAGACCTCCCCAATCACCTAAAAGTCACCTGGCAAGTTACCCAAGCCACATTCCTAGTTTTTTTAATTCCCACACTGCAATGCACATGTGGTGATGCGATTTTGGCTTAGTCATTTACACGTTAGGCCATTTGTCTTGAAATCAACCAATTACAGAGAACAAGAAATAGCCAGCATGGTGGCTCACGCATGTAATCCCAGCACTTTGGGAGGCCGAGGCGGGTAGATCCCAAGGTCAGGAGACAGAGACCATCCTGGCCAACATGGTGAAACCCCGTCTCTACTAAAAACACAAAAATTAGCCAGGCATGGTGGCAGATGCCTGTAGTCCCAGCTACTTGGGAGGCTGAGGTAGGAGAATCGCTTGAACCCAGGAGGCAGAAGTTGCAGTGAACGGAGATCGCACCACTGCACTCCAGCCTGGGCGACAGAGCGAGACCCTGTCTCAAAA